TTATGACACCATTGTAAAGCAACATTAAGTTTTTTTTAACCCTTGTCCTGCTGGCATTCCTGGCACAATATTTTTCAATAATTTCATGCCTTAATTAGATCATAGACCCCTACTTTTTTTGCCCTGCAGTGGCATAGTTACTTCTGCATTCGTTGCATTTCACTGCGGTGTGATGAACATTGCACGAGAAATACCCCCATATCGTACCTATACAGGGTGCTATATAGATGGTTGTGATCCGCAGGACAAGGGTTTTAATTTCTTTTTACATTAGAACTCAATGGTTTTTATTTTTCGAATGTCTGAGAAAAACCCTGGCCACACAAATGACAAAGTGACAAGCCGGAAAGATGACAGTAACTTGATTACAGAAGACTTTGCCTAATTTGGAATTCTGTCACTGGGTCCCCCAAGGACAAAACATGATCCAATTGTCCTTATTTGGGCGTGGTCATCTGCAAACAATATTCTCTCTGTGTACTTTAAATCTAATATTCTGAGGTAAAAAAAAAGTTAATTTGGTCTGCCTTGGACCATTGGGTCATTCATGTATTTTCGCCTCAACTTACCTAACTATTAGTCTTACTACTCAGTATTGTCTGTTTCATCGAAACATTTTTTTTTTAATGGTTTATTTCAAATTCGCAAATTTTACGCAAATAAACAGTCTAACGTATAATATTTTGATAAATTTGAAACATTACATTTTGATAAACAATATTCCCAGGCAGATGCATTAAATCCATAGATTATTTTCTTAAGGGTTAAGTTAAGAAACAGGTTGTATTCTGGGACCCTAATTTTTGGAACAATGTGCCCAGTATCTGGGACAACTCTTGCAGACTCCTTTGGCTTAGACTAGAGGCACCTGAAAAGTCTGTGTACTAGTAACTCAGAGTGACAAGATACATCTCTTGATCTTTTACATCCCTAGTTTGCTCGCATGTACTATAGAATTAGAACTATCATAGTGTGGAACTCACTGCCACCAAGTACAGTAGGGGCATCATCACTAGATAGCTTTAAAGTTTAAACAAACTTTAGATGTGTAAAGGTGTAACAGGTCGTTCGGTGTAATATAGCCAGCTACTGCTGCACCACGTGCCTGCGAAGCTGTAGTTACACTGAAAGGTGGTTATACCGGCCATACAGATACATAACAGCCAGTGTTCAACCTATATCATGTACATTTTGTGGAGAGGGCACTGCTCAAGCAACAATTGTGAGTAATGCAATTCTTTGGGTAGGAACCACACCACTGAACAATTTACAGTGATTCACCATGAAACATAAAGGCTGTGGACTGATCCGTAATTATACACATTAGTCCGATAACCTTACTCACATGTCAAGACAAGTTATTAGTGCACCATTACACATCCCTGGGGCAGGGCTTGAAACTCATTTGGGGGAATACGCGCCTAACCCAAAATTCTGGTGCACAGTAAAAAAAATTGGGGGGTACAACGTAGAATAAAACAGAGTGTTGGCAAAATATAACTACAAACATTCCTATCTTCTGAGATTGAATCTGAAATTCTACAGTTAAATTCTAAACATGTAAATTCAAAAAAAGGTTTGATTATTTTTCTTTCAGTCAAGAAAATACTGTGTGCTTGAGTACATTTAGTGTTAAACTTAATATGCAGAACACTCCACAAATATTTAGGTGCACCTAGTCAAAGCTTAGGTGCACAGCTCCAATTTTGGTGAAGACAAGTGCATAGTGCACACAGTACTTCCAGCCCTGTTTTAGGGGAGGTGGGGGTTACCCTGTATGAGGAACAGTAACTCCAGTCAGCCCACCTAAAAACCAGCTGAACCGTAATGGTAACGTGTTGCAAGACTACGAACACACACACAGACGAGAGGCAAACATTAAACAACTGTTCTGCTGGGGTGGGGACTACTCAGGACCTACAAGTGTAGGGACATGTTAGGCGTGTGTCAACAGGGTCTAAGTGAACAGCTGTTGGGGACCCTGGCTATCACTGGAGACCATTCATGGCTGCCAAAATCTGTCCAGAACTGCAGATGACTCTGATAACTGTAAAATACTAGCCTCTACCAGGCTTTGGGAGGAGGCTGGAAAGAGTAGAAATTGGCCAAATAGAGAAATAAAATGCCAGGGGGAGTTGGTCCGCTAGAGAGTACAGTTTGCCGCACTAGAGTGCAACTCCCCTGGCATGTTATCTCTCTATTTAGTATTTAGCCAATTTCTACTCTTTCCAGCCGCCTCCCAAAGCCTGGTAGAGGCTAGCAAAATACAGGAGTGTGGAGAAGTATGCGACAAAACAAGGTGATGTTTAGAAGAATATTTACAACCACAAAACAGAAATAAGGACTTATCAATTGTCATTTTTCAACTTTCAAGCTTCACACAGGCCAAACTGAAGCACCCAAGCAGAGGTTTGGGCTTTGGCTTATTTTTGGTGTGTTTTCAGGATGTTTTTATCAGGCTTTCTTTTTTGCACTGGTATTTTTTTTTCGCTAGGCGAAAAGACACCAGTGCAAAAAAAGAAGGCCTGCGAAAAAAGCCTAAAAACATGTCAAAAATAAGCCCAAACCCAAACCACTGTTGCATTCTTTTCCAGTATTTTACAGCTACTAGGTAGTCGAAGCAAATTTACAAAACGTGCTGCTTTGAAGTATGCTTATAACCTGTCAAAACTGATACGATCTGTAGGTAAACAGAAATAACTAGCTGTCAGTTGTCATTTTCTCAAGCTCCGCACAGGCCAATTTGAAACACCCCCGTATCTGATATGGACCGATCTGCCCAGTGATAGCAAATCACTCAGTAAGTCCCAGTCCTTCTGACAGGCACCTTGTAACCGGACACCTGATCCTGTAACTTGAAACCTGCTTATGTAACCCGAATCCTGTTCAAGAGGTGAAGGAAGATTTTTACACAAATCAAGAAAGGTGGCTGCTTTACCTAGCCTGTTTCCAGGGCAAATTACGGGACAGGCCTAGACACGTGTCAGCCCCGGAAACAGTCTGGCTTCCAGACTACTCCTTAATTACAGTTCTAACTGAGTAGGATTAAATACATGTATTTACCTGTTCTCATACACTATATCAAAGATGAGGAATCATAGCCATTGATTCCGACAAATAACTGCATCCTAAAAACTGGAAAATACATTTTTTTCTCACAGATATTTAGTGATTTGAAACGAAATGGAACAAAATAGGGCAACATTCCCTTCGTCATACTAGGTTGCGTACATGTCATAAAATGACAGATTCAAGTCTACGCTCCTGCAAGTCTTCAAAAACCTTTCCGTGCGATCTTACAAAGGTTCTCCCCTCGATAGGTGATCTGCCGCGGTGGTTTTACAAAGACATGCAGGGTTCTCCAGGCAGCTTACGCACGTGGCTGAGTCATGGGTGCTTCTGTGAGCCACTTCCCTCTCGGTTGCCTGGCACCTACAGCACTTTCCCTCTCTCAGCTAATCATTATCCTTCTGCTGGGCTTAGCAAACAAAATGTTGTGTTTCCTGTTTCCCGACCGACCCTAGAAAAACCTGCCCACCCTAGACTTTTTTTGCGGGTGGACGACCGCTGTAAGGGCCTAAATTTTCGAGCTGATCAACCATTTCTGGCTCCATGATCTGACACCTGAGTGATAAAACGTTGTACAATTGGTTTTTTAACACTGACTGCGATATCACTGAATTCTAAAAAAAAAGAATAATCCCTACCTACAGACCCTAATTTTTTCAGGACCGAAACAGGAAACACAAAATTTTATTTCCTAGGCCTTACTGTGGGTACAGGCAGGGTTGTGCAATCGTGGGGGTGATTGATTTTTATTTTATTTTCCGTTACGCATGTGATAAGAACAAACAAAAACTAACAGTTTACGCGGAAGGAGGAAGAGAACTTTGTGCTTGGCGGCAAACAAGTTTCGGCGCCATTTTTCGGTCTTACAAGCAACTGGAAAAGAGGAATTTTCTTCTACCAACTTCAGATCTTTTAGAAGACACCGGTTATGCCAACAAATCTGCTGAGCAACCAAAACCAACGCATGAATTTGAATTTGCACAAACCGATTCAAACTCGGATAAACTAACAGATAAACATTCTAACCAAAGTGCAACTTGTAAATTGGGTTGAATACAGTTTTACATTGTTTCTACCAAGGATTGAATTATTTAGTACCTTTCATAGTACAGTCTGCACTCCTCAATGCAACCACCAACCAAAACATTTTCTTTTGAGCAGTCAGCCAAGGAAACAAGAGTGAAACAAGAGGTGTGCTTGAACCATGCAAACTTCCTCATAATGGCACTGGAAAATGTAAACACTGTGGAACAGGAAACCTGAGAAAATCTTAACGTTGAGCTGATGTCTTGACACAGTCGGAAATTCTTCGTGAGAAAATGTGACTTTGGACTTGAACTTTGGGGCAAACCGTGTGAACAACACATTATCAACAAATTATAACCAACTGCCTGAGAGCTTATGTAAACATGTGAATAAGACTTCTGTGACTGAAAGCTGCAAAAACGTCTGCTTCCTGCACACATCCTGGCGTGGACTGAAGGTTTGGGGTTCAATTCCCGGTCTCCTGTACAGTTGTAGTCATGCTGACTGTTGCTTGACTTGTGATGCTATTTTCCTTGTTGATGACTTCACTGTGATTCAACCTCTTTCCTTATAGAGTTATGTGTGGCCTACATGTACATATATCATTGACACACATACACTCTGTGAGGGCATGAACTTCCTTTCCCCCTTTTGTGATTGTACAGCAACAACCATGGGTGTTTCACATGTTAGATTGTACTAAAACGTGACATACTGTTATATGTTTAGTTCAGATGCCCCCCTCCCCCTTCTGATGATAGTGACACCACCTTCTGGCCCACCCTTGGTAACAAAAAGCCCCAGGCTACTACTAGTACTAGACTACTCTGGTTACCACTATCAATTTTCAGACAAATTGTCTCTTAAGGTTTACATTTTAGAACTCAGAAATCTGTTAAACTTACCTCCTCCTTGCATCATTTTGTAGAACTTGCTCTCTATGTGGAGCTGGGGATGCTTCGTTTTGACACATTCTAGCTTGATAGCCACTTCCTCTCCGTTGGAAATATTAGTTCCTAGGGGGAAAAATCACACGAAAATAAAATAGCACTCAGGATTTCTGTACTACAAGAATATCAGCATACAAATGTGAGTGATGTGATTCTAAAATGGAATATTTTAGTAAGGAAATAAGTGGAGAGGTAACGTTATAATTTTGACAGTTGGAAATGTTGTAATGTTTTGATAAGTGTCACGGTTACAACCGATCTCAACCCCAACCCTAAATTTTAAAACTGGCTCGCTCGGGAAGATCTAGAAACTGGCCAGGCCAGATCTGATACAGGAAAATAAGTTTTAGGTAATCCCCGAACAAATCCAGGTTGTTTGTTTGTAAGGGAGCCTGAGAGACCACCGCTTTCAGCAAGTGTCCCGGCCACTGCCGACATGTAATTTGCAGGACTCAGCTGTTTCCTTTCAAATGAAAATCGCAGTCGATACAATCAGGTATGTTTGGGGTGTCTTGTAGGGATTGTAGAGGGCTACAAACCTAGGTAAATGTCTCCGAAGCTCCCGCTTCCGATCTTGCGGCCCAGCCGGTATTTGTTACCGACTCTCAACTCCATCTCGGCTCTGGAACACAGACAGAAGTGTCAGGAATGCACCCAGGCCGTTCGAAAGCCCCAGTCAATGACAAACCGACGCAAACAGACGGAATCTCCCTCGGATTCGGCTTGGGTTTTTGCCCGTTTCTCTCACAATTGTGCCGGCAAGGATCAGTCCACAACAAGATATGTTCCTCAACGTTTGTTTCAACTTGAAATCGGGAACATCGGTGTGTGGATAGTGTCAGGATGTCGCGGATTCTTCATGGTCTACCCCAAAGTACTCCGTACAGCCGCCATTATTTACTCCGCTGGACTCCGTTGCCGCCCGTAGGCCGCATGCGCACAGCTGGCGATGACGAAAGTTCCCCGGATGCTCAAGGCCCCCTACCCGCAATAAAATTAGCCTATTAATATGCTATGCCACTTGCTTATTACGTTAATACTAATTGGAGATAATAGAAAAATACTGGTAATGAGAAATTAACTAAAAAAATATATGCACAAGAATGTTTGACAAAATTGTGGCCAGAAAACAGGGTAGCGTTATAATACACACAAACTTTTGGTTGAGTGACTTTGGGCTTGATCGACAGAATGGGAAAAGAGCAAGGCTATTTCATTTGTACGTTTTTTTTTCTCTAAACGATAAACATGGATAGAATTAAAAACAATTGATAAAGCTACAATCGAACCAACAAATAAAAAATATGATTTAATCTAACCTTACAAGTGCAATGTGATTTAGTTATTTTATTCACTGCTGAACTAATTGAATTCAATCGCCGACAAACACGCCAACTTGAACAAGTCGAAAGCCTAAACTTCTGCTTTGAAATTAACCGATTTAGATCATCTCACTCGATACCATGTTAAGTACAGGGTGTGACCGTAAAGCGTCAGCAAAACGCGCAAGCCTTGAGGCTTGAGACACGACCTGATAACAGAGGCGGTGACCCGAAAAAGGTCGCGGGTATCATTTAAGTCAGGGCGGGGCAAAGTCATTACGCCAGTCCATTTGCTGCATTGTTGTATACTAGTATTTCAAAATCTGAAGTTGTGGAATCATCTTTCAATTTTGAACTACCTGAAATATTAAACTGATGGTTTGTAAAAGTGTGCATTGATGATAAATAAAATTCTTGGTTATCAATTTTGTCATGTGTGATCGTCTGGATATTTGTCAATGAAAAGTCGCTAATCGTTAGAAATCAAAGAGTGTTTTTTTTTGGTTTTTTGTTTTTTAAATCACAGGCGAATTTTGAGGAGACGCGTATGTAAACGTGAAATTTGACTGAGTTGGGTTTATAACAGAACCTTTGCTTGTATTTTTTTTCGGTCGCCACTCCATTGATTTTCTGTAAAAAAAATCCGCAAACCGACAAAAAAAGATTAAATATTGTCAAAAATAAACCCAATGAAACTTGTGCTTGAAAAAAAAAGAGTACCGGCTCTTTTTTTTAACATCTACTTGGAGATAGTCACCTGTGAATCTAATGCGTCGCGCCGGAGGGCTTTTACCTACAACAGTCGAACAACTTACGGCAAACTGGGCCTTCATTCACCTTTACCCTTCAGGGCACGCCGGGCAAGATTGTAGCACATAAAATACATAAAATAAGGTACTAGTGATTACATGTTTCAGACTATGCAGATATGTAGTGTTTCAAAGGCATTGATAAAACTACAGACGACTTAAATTCTTCAAGAAAATTTTGACACATGTTCCTCAGTGTCACCTGATGAGGCTAGTAATGACTGTGGGAACTTGCCGCAGGCTGTCTAACATTTTGTATACAGGCTAGGTGGTTAAACGAGTGTCAAATTCTCCCAAATAAAGAGATATCTCGGTCAAATTACACAATACCAATGTCACAATCAAATATACAATCCTTCGTTATGCAACGAGAAGCCTTGTAAAGTTTTACACAAGAAAGAAGACGCGAGTAATAACAACTTACCCCGGGTCCGGAATAGCTGTCAGCGATCTTTTGACAAACGTGTGCACTTGGCTGAACAAGCTTGACTCCGACTTCCATTTGCCTTTACTCAGTCCCCTTTGTCCATATTGGGGCGATTTCATTCTCTCTAGTCTCTCTAGTTGCAATCTTCTCATTGCTAACGCTTGTAGCAAAGCCTGTGGAACTGTCAGAGCGCTCAGAAACTGATGTCACTAAAGACCTGTGGCAAAGAATCAACGGCAAGCAGACGACGTTGTGTTATTTGAGTGTGGGGATGACGGGGGTGTATCACCAGGCATTTTATCGTGACTCCTATGGGTCCTTGGTGACTGTGAAGGGAGGTGCCCTCGGCAGGAAGGACTGCTTTTGGTGATGAATCAGAGAAAGACCTAGCAAGGGTTTTCTACCAATCAGAAACTTGCTGATTCCTTCACCACAAAAAGTTTATTTTTTTGCCTAACATGTTTCTTTCTTGTCCGGAAATGGAAAACGCGGAAGACAACACTTCTGGGGGTTTGGGAGAGAAAAGAAACATCCTTCCATCCATATCTTTTCCTCAGCGGATGTTTTGTATTGGTTATCCTGTGTCCCCCTATCACACCCTCCATAAGCGTAACTGAGACCATATATGATAACTATCTTGGTGAGGAACCAAATATGTTTCCTGATTCGGAATAAAAGTTGACCTCACTCCTGGGCTATCCTGTGCGTAAAGGGGAGAGGCAAGCCTCCTTTTCCCTCAGGAAGCACTGCGCTCATTCAACTTAAAATAAATATAGATAAGTTTTATAGCAAATACATGGCCAAGGGCTACAAAGTATTGTAACGTTAAGTTCAAAACAATAGTATGAAAAAAGAACATACAAATTATTGTACAATGATGCAAAGACACTTCTGTTATGTGTGGATTCTTTCACTTTTAAGTTAGTAAAACTATTTTCACATGGTAAGCAAAAGTGGGAAAGTAAGGATGCATAGATTCACAGTAACATGGAATAGCTTCACTGAAAAGTTTTACCAAATTTCCAAATGTTTCTACTAGTCTTTTAGAAGTGATTTGATTTTGTAGCAAGGACAAAGTTGTTGCATCAACCAAAAAAGTACATAAAAACATTTCTATTGGAAACAGAATTTTCTTTATTGCAGATATAAAGACACGATACAACAAGAAGACATTTTTCAAACATCTGATTGAAGGAATGCACAAGACAGAACATCTGTTGTAGGACATGATTAAGTTTAAAGTTGAGAAGAAAGTATAATATCTATGGACACACAATGTTTGTATTCCACACCTGTTTTTCCCTGCTGGCACTGTAAAATATGAAGTATATCTTGACCTGTGTTGGTAGTTACATGTTTAGAGTTAAAACTTTTGATCCAATACGAAAAGTTCTCTCACCTAGAGCTTTCGACCAGTTACTCTGGCCTTCCTCAGTAGACTGACCCAGTGAGGCTTGTCACCTGGCTTCTTTGAAGTGTGACGTCAACACTGGGTCAAAGAAGCCACGTGACAAACCTCACTGGGTCAGTCTACTGAGGAAGACAAGAGTGACTGGTCAAAAGCTCTAGGTGAGAGAACGTTTTTGTGTTGGATCAAAAGTTTTAACTTTAAAGACAGTAGGGAGTGTCCATTTGTCATCGTTACTAGTTGTGATATAAAACCTTTGGCAAGAGTCCACTCTCATGAAGTAGACTCGTGAAATCCAATCCACCCATTTCAGCTTTAGCTTCTAGCAAGGAGGTTTAAAATGAGACCTCCTTGCTTCTAGTGAATGTATTGGAAGCTCCTGCATAGAATGTTTGTAAGTGGCACTGGCACTGAAGCTAAAACTTCAAAATAAGACTGGAGATTAGTTACCTATACAGCTTAAAGTTCAACAAATCTGCTTTCAGAAAAAGTAGAATATGGTTGTATCTTAGTTACAATAGAAACAACAGTACAAAAATAATCATAACTTGAACGAGAACACTGAAAAGCCAATAATACACTGGCTACTGAAACAATACACAATCTAACAAAAAAAGAGATATTAGTACATGTAAATTGTAAGTCAAGTCAAGTCTATCTCTACATATAATATATATTTTTTGTATTTTTGCAACAGAAACACAAGATAAGAGTAATAATAACTTTGAAGATGTGTTAGGCTACGGTGGTAGTACCCAAGAGGTGTTGCAACAATTGGGTGTCGACCTTTGCCACATTTACATAGAAACAAGAACATGCAAATCAAATTTTATTGCTTATAGCCATTCACACTTGTTGGTAATCTGACAAATACATTTCTCGCCAACAAAGACCAAAGTAACTTTTATCATGAACTGACTGATGCCAGAAAAAGGAACTTGCTTCAGGCTTTGTTTTTTTAAAATCAAAAACAACTCATCCAGTAGCTTGTAGTATTGCTGGATAGTCTTAGAAGAAAATTGCTTAGCATACAAAAGTGGTCACAGAAATGGTGAAAATTTCACTACCTCCTGAGCACTCTTATCATGTCATGTTTTTTCCATTTATGATTTTATTTGGCTCCAGTTATGGCTTCAAATTTAATTTGAGAAGGATACCAGGGTACAAAAGTTGAGTTCTGTAACAAGTTCTTAAGTCAAATTCTTAACTATTTCTGTGACTACGTGTAGTTTGACAGCCTAGACTTGTCACAGTACTAGGAAATCCAACTGTTCATTTTGGTGGCAAAATACAATGTAGAAACAAAGAGCTTCCCATATGGCGCCCTCGATTTAGAAAATGACCTTGAAAATTGACCTTGACAGCCTTGATTGTGGTTCTCTGACTGTAGACACTAACACATTTGCACTGTGCAAGGCACTGTGTTACATACATGTACCTAGTACCTCCAAAAATGTGTCATTAAAAAGTCGTTTAGTCAGCCTGGCAACTTGAAAGATCAGCTAGACGCTACAAGTTTTAAACAGCATCCGTGTATGATTCAGACTGTCCTGAGCACCTAGTCCATAGTAGTAATATTCACAGGCACATGGAAGAGGACTGTGAGCATTCTTTTCAAATTGCACTAGTTCTTTTTGCAACCTCTCCTTTTCACAGACCAAGAAATTTTCTTTTTTGCAACCTCTTCTTTTCAAAGAGCAAGAAATCTTCTGTTCTCTTTGCAACCTTTCCTGTTTTGAAGAGCAAGAAATTTTTCTGTTCTTTTTGCTACCTTTCCTTTTTCATAGGACAAATATTCCATTCTTTTCGGTGACTTTCCTATTTTACAGAGCAAGAAATTTTCTGTTCTCTTTGCTTTACAACCTCTTCTTTTCAAGAGCAATAAATTTCATGTTCTTTTTGCCATCCTTCCTTTTTCAAAGAGCAAGAAACTTTCTGTTCTCTTTGCAACCTTCCCTTTCTGAAAGAGCACTATGTTTGACTGACACAATGCCACACTCGCTTTTCCTTCATTTCCAGCAACCTTTCTTCTTTCAAACTACAAAGTTGACGAAAAGGAAGACACATCTTGATTGCACCTAACGATGCCAGCTTGGCGTGGGAGGGGATGGTGGGGGTTATAGGAAGGGCTGGTTGGGGGGAGGGGCGTGCATGTGGGGAGCCAGAACTTGCTGCTGCTGATGGATTCTTTGGTTTAAGTTCTGCAGGCCCTGATGTAGGTGCTGCAGGTTCTCGTGCATCATGCGTTGTCTCTCCCTCTGCATCTCCACCATCCTCTCCATCCTGTGTGCTACCTGGCCGTGGGCGTTGTGCAAGTTGGGCTGGAAGGGCAAAAACATGCAACACATCAAACATTAGAGTACATACTACATACACAGATGAAGGTTAGACATCCAGGTAATAAGATACGCCAAAAAGCAGTTACTCAAGCAACTGGATATGATTTTGGAAACAGTCAGACACTTCGTACTACATACTACATAGTAGTAGAGTGATCAACCAAAAATGTATGGTGAGTTCCTTTTCTTGTGTTGGAACAGTTTGAAGTCTACAACTATGGATTCTACCAACACAGATGAGCTTTCAATCAAACATTGGGCATAGGGGGACCCCCTATGCTGTGATTTGGACAACCTATGCTGTGAATTGGACCCCTATGTTGTCTCTCAACCAGCATAGGGGTGTTTTGGGGAGAGAAACTTCATGAATCTTGCAAAAAATAAAAATTTATCTTTAGAATAAAGCTACAAATGTATAGCAAAAGGAAAACCTTAACTTCACAAAATATGCCCCTCAATAAGTGAGAAATAGTGTCTCAGGGGGTTTCAAAATTTTTTGGCTCAATGTGTGACTTGTGCCGCTAAAGTACCTGACCCTGTGAAAAATTCCTGGTGAGAACCCTGATTAAAGCTGGTGTGGTACACTGAACGGCTAATATTCAGGTGCAGATACAGATACAGAAAGCTGAAACAGACATACGTGTGCGTGGTGTGGAGGCCCAGGAATGTTGACCGGCCTGTGTGGGGGCTGGTGGGGCGGTGGGCCGAAGTGTGGGACGGGGTGCGGCGGCATGTTCCAGGCAGGCATGCCCGGCCGCGGTGCGTTCTGGAACTGTGGCTGGTTTCCCGGCTGCATCTGGACCCCCTGCGCTGCTGCAGGCTGGTTCTGTCCGACAACCGGTGGACGAGGGGGGCCGGCGCCAGGCGGTACCACCTCGACACGTGGCCTCTTGGGGGATGGAGGTGGCCCCAGTCTGTCTGCTACCCTGTCCTTTCCTGTAATAATACAATACAAAATACATATAATATTCATGTACCATACAAAATCCACTGTCAGCATGTAATGAGTGTCTGAAGTGTGGGGAATGCCCCAGTCTGTCTGCTACTCTGTCCTTCCCTGCAATGGTACAAAGTAATATACCATACAAATCTAATGTGTTCATGTTCGGTACACAGTGAACCAGTAACACCTATTTTGGAGACGGAGGTGGCCCCAGTCTGTCTGCTACTCTCTCCTTCCCTGTAATAATACAATACAAAATCCACTGTTCAGCATATAATGAGTGTCTGAAGTGTGGTGAGGGCCCCAGTCTGTCTGCTACTCCTGTGATGGTACAAATCCAACATAAAACATGTTACTCTTTAATGTTGAATAAGTGTATTTTACTGTCGCTTACTAAATGATGACAACTGTTAATGTATAATCATTTTATAGACTGATACTTTTGTAAGTAGCCTTTAACTACTGCTGCAAGGAGGCATGTATGTCTTTTGCTAACAAGAACTATTAAACCAGTCTACTACTACTACTACTACTACTACCACCACCACTACTGCTGCTGCTACTACATGGGTGTCTGTCTTTGCTGTTCAAACTACAGTCCTCTCACCTTCTGCCTTTTTCTGTTCTCTCGCCGCCTTCTGAATTTCCTCCATAGCCCTTTCGTCATCCTCCTAGTTGTAAAAAGGAAACATTTACATTTAACAATGTAACTGGGTGATACACCGATGTGTACTGTTCTGTCATACCCACCCGAGAAAACACACATTCTCAATGCCAGATGTGCCAAAAGTTAAAAGAAAATTTGGTGTCCCTGAACAAAAATCAACACCAATGTCGAAATTTGGTATTCAATTTTCGAAAGTGGGGCAAGCAAAATGCAAAGTAATAATTTATTCTACTGGACATTTGGACACCTGTGTGATGCAGATAGTTCTCACAACGGCCAACAGACCAGCACTGAAAGTTAGAGCAGCCCAGCCATGACACAAATAAAGATATGCCAGCCTGATGTTTTCTTCTTACCTCTGTACTTGTCCAGAGAGAACACGCTGTGCAGATCTGACAGGGCTCCCCGGGGTTCCTGGCGTGGCGACAGAAGTGGTTGTAATCCTTGATGGGCTTACGGCAGACGTAGCACATCTTAGCAAGGCACCGGCAGGTCATCTGAGGACATGGAAGGAAGTTACGTAAGTTATTGAGAAATAACTGTTCTACAACTCTACAAATCTCTTGGTCTTCACTGCCTGTCTGCAGACATGTGACTTGTCTGGTGAGTCAACTCAGATGGAACTTTCATATTAATATAGGGAAGTCCGTTTTTAAGTTATTTAAACTTGAAGACTGTCTATGATGGATGTATAGCCACCTTCCTTTTACTGTTGTTTATATGCAAAATACTGTAAATCCATTTAAAAATGCGGTTGGAAATTATAGCGGTCGGCGAAAAATGGACAACCTCACGTCACTTAATTATAGCGGTGTGAACATGGCTGATGTGTGTAAAAAAATACATTAAAACGCTGGCCTTTTTTTTTAAGAAAATAAAAAAAAGCAGTTTACGCCAGCGAAAATCGATTTTTACAAAGAAAAAACAAAACAGGCACGCCGATGGTGTCTGGAAGTAAATAATTTACAAAGTACTGTAGCGGCGCGGTGACTTCAAAAAGTTCGTAATTACGCACGCTTGTGTTGCGTGCGGCACCGCCGCCCCCCTCCCCAAGCTCCATGCCGCTGCACGCCGCTACATGTCCGGCGCCGCAGACGAGCTTACAGCGAAACCCGGCGTCTTCGACCTAGGATTGGAGCGTAATGGAATCCATGACGCCCTCGAGAAAGTTCTACAGACACTATAGCCTTTAAACAGTAACGTTTAATCGTATTTTTTGCCGCAAAAGTTGACTCGCAATTTTCGAAAAACTTGTGACGCCATTTTTTTCACTCGGCGCTTGGTTCCCGAATTTTCGACTCGTCTTAGTCGTAGCACGCTATTAACGCTTTTACATTTTGTAGTACAAATGAAACTTAACATTTGATTGTATTTCTACCTAGATTTCTACCTCGAAATTAAGCAGATTTATGCCGCATTTCTCGTAGTTTGTAACTCGTTTCTGAAGTTGGCCGCCGGGCCGCCATTTTGTTTGTTGTTGTCTGCACGCTTGGGCGACGCTGAATTTTGTAACTCGTCTCATTTTTTTCGATATTGTCCCGTACTAGCACAAAATGAACGGCTATCGTTTCTGTAAATTTATGAAGAAACTTCTAAATCGAAGTATACGCTAAATATTTATAAATACCCAAGTGTAGATAAGCTGGGAAATTTCAAAGCGTCACTGCGTCACATGTGTTTGTGCATGTTCACAAGATTTTTTTACCGTGGTTTGCTTAGCACTGCATACTTGTTAAAAATATGAACTACTTTATGTTTAATAAATATTTTATTTCTGGAAGCACATCAGTGTTTTGCTTGTTCCTATGTGAAGCACTAGTACTGTGCGTTGTGTGCATGTTGTAGTCAAGAAATGAAGCGTGATTGCGATCGTACCGTAACGAGCTTGGGGCAAGAGGGAGGGGGGCTGAAGTGGTAAAAAAAGTTGCGATCATGAAAATTTAGCGGTGGAATAGTGACCGCTAAAACCGCTATAATTAAGTGACCGTTATCAAATCAAGAATTACAGTACTGTTAAAATATCTACCATTGTATATTCTGGAAGAAAATATTCATAGTAGACAGGTCGACTTAAACTAAAAACCGTATTCTCAATGCTTGGGTCAGTGGGGGAAATGGGGACAACTATGCTATAGTTTGCACAATGACCAGGTGGTCCTTTTGCAGAGGTGGGCACTAGTACAGGTGGATACAGTGCAGGTGAGAACACACGCCATGGAGGACCTTACCTTGTTGCAGCCGTCATGTTTGGTGAAGCTGGCTTTGCACTGGTGACACGTCCTGATCTTAGCCTCCGTCATCTTCTCTTCTCTACAAGAGAGGGAGCAAATGGTATGGTTAGGTTAGGTTGATATAACCAATAAACTTCCATAAGAAGTAACACACCAGATCTATACAGCAAGTCCAGGCTGACAAACACTACACTGTAATTTGTTAAAGGTTAGACATCCATATAAGCAATATTCAAAGACTACTTATGGGTGTTTCACGTGACATCCATCACTCTTTCTTCATAAAAATGAACTGTTCATATTACTGACACTTAAAATGTAAAAACAAAGGGGCTAGACAGAAGGGAGAAGGTTACCGTAACACATGTTCTTACATTGATGTCCTGAATTTTGTGTCGTCTGCCCTCTCCACTTCCTTACAGGGAATGCCGAAGTGCTCAGCCCAGTCCTCCTTACAGTGGCGACAGGTTTGCTGCAAGGTACGAGTTTAAACTTCAGTCTGACATCTTGAGTGTAGATTAACTTAAGATACAAGTACAGGTTATTTTGCCTTGACAGTAAACCAAAAAGTACTAGTATTACAAACCTTCATACACTCTGGGTTCTGACATCGGAAAACCTTGTCTCCCTCCGCAAGGATAGCAGCATAGTCACAGCTGGGGCACCTAAAACACAAGTCAAATAAATGTCCATAGGTAACAATTCTCCATGAAGTTTTATATTTTGCAGATTTGGAACAGTATAATGTATGTAAACAGTGTGTGAACACTTGACAACCAATAACAACATATTGTAAAACTGGCTAAATCCCTCGTCAAATACGTAAGATTGACTGACTAAAAATAAATCATGCTTGTGGCAGTCACCCGCCCCAAAGTTTGCATGTGTTCCTAAATTCAAATCCTAAAGGACTATGTATGTGTTTGTAACCATGGTGACTGTGTTCCCATGGCGATGACCTTACCGTACGAGGTCGTCCAGCCCTGCCAGGTTGATGTTCTCCTCCTCCAGCCTCTCCTCATACTTCTTCAGCATGTTCTCTGGAAGGGCCTTCTCCAGCTGACCTGGGGGTAGAGGTCAACAGGTCAACTTTGTGACCTTACACTAAGTTACAGCAATGGTCAACATCATGAAAATTTATTTTTCTTTACAAGTGTGTGAAGACAAAAGAAACATTTTACTTTCTGCAATACATGTACATGCGTGAAATTGTGGTTCAAATTTTCTTTTGAGAAATATACTTGATGGATATACAGTGCATTGTCCCGTGTTCTACTAACTTTTAGCTAGCATAGTTTGAGCATAGGGGCCCCCTATACAGTATACTGTGATTTTGACTCCTACGCTGTCTTTTAATGAGTGTAGGGTTGTTTTTTGGGGAAGAGAACCCTCTGTTCAAAAATCTTCGATTGAATAAAAGTTAAACATCAATATAGTAAAGCCATTACATATTTTTTGGGTAACAAAACTAATCAGTGAAGACTAATTAGCAGAAATTCGGACTATCAATGTGTTAATATGAAGAAAGAAGGGATTTACTGCAGCAGATAGCTGTCTTCTGTAGCATGAGGCTATGAGTTGGAACTTACCCATAGGAAATGTGCTGTCACAGCCGTCAGTCATACAGCTCAGGGACGCCTGCAGGGAGCGACACACGTCAATCATCCCAAAACCAAAATTTCACAATCCTGATATACGTAGTATGTTTTACACATAAACACCACTCTCCCCAACCCCTGCCAACATGCCCCCCCCCCAAAAAAAATCAGCACAATTCTGCCTGTTACATGTCCTGATCCTTAGACCTTCCCCTTTGTGTAGTTATAGTATGTAGAAATTGGACAATGCTCGTACATGTAGTATGTTTTACTAGCTGAGTCACGTGTGTCATCTGCTTAACGCGACATCACCAAAGCAGTGGATTGCTCATTCCTTGGCTGGAGTTGCACAGTGAAAATGTGGGGAAGTCCAATTTCTTTTGTGTTGGAAATTTCAATTCAAAACTTAACCTGGTTCTTACCTGCCCTGACCCGAAGACCTTCTCCTTGGTGTAGTTCTTGAGGCAGTCGACACAGAACAGATGACCGTCGTAACACTGCACCATGTCTTCGAAGGTCACCTCGCCGTAACAGCAGCCACACTCGATCATCTGCCCCGCAGCCTCATACTGTTCCTCATTCAGACGCAGGGCCAGGAGGTGGTCTGCTTCCTAAGAAGGGAAGAGAAAGTTAGTATCTATTGAAAACGAGAAACTCAAGGTAACATTTGCAAACAAATGCATAATGTTTACCTTCATATGGTCTGGCCTAACAACGACTTCTAACTCAAACATATTCATATTCTAATACATGTATATCATTACAAGCCCCTCCAGCTCTGTTCTGCTAGTTAATGTAACCCAACACCATGGGATGTCTGCTGCAGCAAGTTACCATGGTGACAGACGTCTGTGTTACGCCTTCTTGTGTACGGATGCTCAACTATGGATCCGATCGAGACGCGATTGAACAGAAGGGATGTGAGCCAACTTCTACTTTATTTCTTTGGTCTAAGATCTACATCTGGTAACAATCATTTCTAGCGCCCCATAATGCAATGCTGGAATGTGTCCATGGGCAAGGCCCCTATGGTGTCTATTAAGCTTGCCTGATGAGAACTTAGTACATGTATCTGGATGTGTAACAGTCTGGTCCAGGTCAATGACCTTATGTGTTTGGCAAAGAAGAAGAAACTGAGCCTTCAGCAAAGGTAAACATATAGATTTGGTTGGAAAACACAGGAGTTTGGGATTTTCTTATATGCAACCAGTAATTTTGTCACCTTGCTCACATTTTATAGTATTACTCAATAATTCAGAGCCTGTGAGGAAGGTGTCTGATGGACATCAATACATAAGCAAGCACTTGAATATCAGGAAAGCTTGTCTAGTACACAGCTATAGTTGAAACACATTTCCCACCTCCTTCTGCTGTCTGGTCCTCTCTTCCACGAAGGCCATTTCTTCTTTCAATTCCTTGCAGAGGTTCTTCTTATCCAGTGTGCCTTTCACACGAACCAGCTTCAGCAGGCGGACAGTGAAAGTTCGTGTGTGGTGAGGTCCTGGGGGAAAGAAGACATGTTGATGTGGCATTCAAGTATGTAGTAGCAGGACTTGTACCCGGACACTTTGTTTCACTTGACACTGTAAGGATTCTGGACACTGAACAAGACTATTTCTTGAGAGGGGTGAAGGAAGCCATGTACATCAGGGCCCATCACCCTACATTGAACTGCGACGGGGGCCGACATCGTCTACCAGATACCTTTGACCCAGTGTTGACGTCACACTTCAAAGAAGCCATGTGACAAGCTTCACTGGGTCAGTCTACTGAGGAAGACCAGAGTGACTGGTCGAAAGCTCTAGGTGAGAGAATTTTTTGTGTTGGACCAAAAGTTTTAACTTTAAACAGAAAGAAGTTATGTTGATGTGGTATTCAAGTTTGTAATAGGACTTGTATTCATCATAATACTGGGTACACAATCAGGGTTTTTTTTTCTAAAACTGAGGAGGGAAAAAGATTTCGAGCCTTGGAATGCAAGGCAAACACTCCACCCCCTAGGCTATTTTACCGGTCTAACCCTAGGGAAACCACTATGTAAGGGCTCCTAAAGTCTTCCTACCTCTCTCATCCTCCAGGCTAACCTGAACCTCATCACATTGGCCATTCTGTGTCTCCAGGCTTCGTCTCTTGTTCACCCTAGGCTGGGGACTATTCACTTGTGCATCTGTGGAACAAGTCACAAAACACACATGGCAATCAGAGATGGCACACTTCACCTCCTCTCTCGCAAAAGATACAGAAACTGTAGTGCTGCACACACACACACACTGACAGACAAGCTAACAATGCTTTACTCTTTGGGCGTGAAGTCCATACAGAAATTTCAATAACCTGTAAGAAAAGGAGCCCACTGTGAATAGTTTCATCAGGTTGGTAAGACACTGAGTAAAGAGAGTCTTTTTACACAACCAAGTCTTTCATTCAGCCGACAATTGGAAATGCATCTAAAGCAGCGACTCCTGTGCTACAGTGCAATGTGAACCAGTCAGAATTGCCCTGAGGAAGGTGACAGACCGTCAACGAAACGTCGGCTGAATAAAAGACTTGGTTGTGTAAAAAGAGTCTCTTTACTCATTGGAGAACCTGTTAAGAAGATGTTTTTTTACCTGGAAGCTTGGCAAGGATGTTCTCCTGAATAAACTTCTTGGCAGGAGCGTAATGGAACTTGTAGAAACACAGGATGGTTCGGAGGTCCTTCACTGAAATCTGAAAAATCAAAATGGAGTCAAGGTCACTCAAGGTCACAGCTGCTGAAGGTCATTATTTTCCATAGACTTCGATGCAGTAAAAATGGTAAAATCTAAAAGTTAAGCAAACAAATTAAAGGTGTGACAAAACAATGAATAGAATATACCTTTAGTTAGATAGCTTGATGTTTAATTGACTTTGGCATCCTTATAAAACGTTTTTCATCTAAGGCTATACTGGTGTATTTAAAGTAAAATTTAACATTATAAATGGCCTCTGAAGAAATTTGCAAAGTAAGTTTTCATGTTCATGTTCAAGGTTTATTTAAGACTTTGTTCAAATATCAACAAAATCCATTTGACGACAAATAAATTAGCATAAATCAGTCCACAGACCAACTCACCCTCCTATATTCATTCTGCAGGGTTGCTAGAACCTGATTCCGGTAGATGTGAGAAACTTGACTCGAGTATTCCTTGAAGTAATCCGGCTGGTTTGTCTGGAAGGTAAATTGTAAAATTCATGTATACGGCAATAGCACGAATACAGAAGGAACTGAAAGAAAACAAGTACAGGGAGTGCCACTGTTGAGAGGTTTATGTGCATAGTTAAAAGCAAATGTTGCCCTGTCTTTTCAAAGTGGCAACAAGGCTCGTATTCGAGTCGTAAGGGTTCACCTCAGAATTTTTTCACAGTGTACAGTCAGGTACACAAAAGTGCGACTTCATACGGTCAGGGCTCACCCCAAGCAATGAAGCAAGGGTGCTAACCCTCTCACCAAAATCCTAGCTCCTCTTCCAACATTTGGAGTCTTCACTTACTATCTCCATGAAATTTCACTGATTTTTCATCAACCAATTAGGAAGCACCTCTCCCTTAAGAATTTCTTGGGAGTCCCCTGCACGGCATACCCAAAAACATGACCACACTCAATGCTATTTAGAACACTAGACATCTATTTTCATTTTCATTTTATATACTCATCAAGTATATTTCTCACAAGAAGACAACTTTACCTTGTCCTGAGATTTAGAAGCAGCGGCAGCAGGTTGTGGCACCTTGGGGGCCTTGGGATAGTCTGGATGTTCCAGTAGATAGTCACAGCAACTAGAGGCAAAATCATCAAGGTGTATGAGTTGTGTGGGGATGGAAATAAAAAGCAATTCACTATGATTGTTTCAACCGTAATCTAAAAACACCACAGACTCAATTCACAGTAGTCAGGGCTAGAAATACTGGGTGCATGTGCACCTTGGTGCACTCAAAATTGGAGCTGTGCACCTAATTTTTTTCTGTGGGTGCATTTTCGTAGGTTTACGTATGTAAAGACATAAATGTATACTAGTACTAGTAGTACACAGCATATTCATGACATATAAGTGTCAGAAATACATGGTGCACCCAAAATATTTTTGGTGCTCTCAATTTTCTTAGGTTGGTACCAAAAATGATTTTCGAGCCCTGAGAATGATGGTACAAATAAAATAGAAGCAGCTACTTACACATTGAGTGGGTGTGGGAAGTGCCAGTATCTGGTCACCAGCTCACGCACATAGCCAGCCTCTACATCTGGGAACATCTCCATCTGGACACACAAAATCACTTTATTATTAGTTATAGTTATTTATCTATTTACATTTACCACATTTGTGGGAGGATTGACATAATTAACTTTGTGTTCACTACTGACTTTCTAATACTATTAATAGTAAAATGTTTGCCAACATGCAATTTTGTATAGGTCCAGACTTGTGTATTTTGCAGAAAGTAAGTATTTTGGAATTGCAGATTAAAATTTTCAACATTCTGCAATACTGAAGAACACTGAGAAAAAGTATTTCTACCACTGCTGACAATATGTAGCTAGTGCGTATACTGACCACTTGTGTGGCTGTGTCAGCCTGTTGCTGCTTTAATGTTGGGGGCTGCAGTGAACTAAACCACACAATAGAGGGCCCTTACACTCCATACTATGCTAGCTAGAACGCTGACAAGACTTAGCTACTCCATATACTTAGCATAAAAGCACACAGACATACCCTGAACAGAGACGGGGGGCGACACAAGTTATCTGGCACGTATGACCCGCTACTACGGTCACGTGTCTCTGACGTCACGTTCCAAGAGTAGAACAAAATTTGGGGTAAGTCCCAACACTTTGATAGTTAGTGTTGTAAGTTAAAGCTTAGTCTTTATTTCATAAATACTCCATATACTGACCACTTGTGTGGCCGTGTCTGCCTGTTGTTGTTCTAATGTTGGGGGCTGCTGTGCTACAGGTGCAGGGGGTGTATCCTGCGGGTCTGGTTCAGGTTCTTCAAGCTCAGGGGTACCAGGAATAACAACACGGTCATCACCATTCTCATCATCCTCTTCAGATGAACTAGGAAAAGAAGAAACATTGAGGAAGGTTATTTATTTATTTTATTCACATTTATTTTTCGAGGATTGGGCAAAAAGTTATAAAACTTATCTCAGCCCTCTCCTCACACATAAAAGGAAACAATACAATAAAGTAATAATAATAATAGTAAGAAAGGACAAAGGTACATAATGAGCTGGTGTACAAATCAAAATCGTCCTGTCTGCAAAATAAAGTTGAAAACCACATCAAATATTTTACAATTGTTGACAAACGACAATGAGGGGTTACCCCTGAGAATGGTTGAACATAAAGTGTTGTCGAAGGTTAGACATTCAGGTAATGAAACACACAAGGAATTGTTACTCAAGTAACTGGCTCGATTTGGACAATGATTTCTTGAAGCAAAAACACATTCTTGCTTTCCAACAATTTGTGAAGCATGGAATAAAACAATAAAATAAATTCAAATCAAAATAGATGTTTGATAGAACTATAAAATACACCATGTTTTTTTCAAATTACTAGAGGGTACTTACTCATTAATGAGAACAGGCGCAGGGAGGAGCAACTTCTTTGGCTTCGCTCCAACTCCTACTCTTTCAACTGTGATGAAAATATGTCTTTCAATCAATCAATCAATCAATTCATCAACCAATCAATTCAAACTAGCATTACAAATGTGCCACAGAAACATCACGTGTTGTCATTGAACACCAGGGACTTTGCTAAACATGTATCTGATGAAGAGAGATTTTAAACATTCAAAACTGTTTGTATCCCTAATTTGACAGATACTTTGTATAAGCCTGTATAAACAATCTTTTGCAATAAACTCACAGAATAAAATGACCCTGTAACTCCCTTTTTTTAATTTGATAATTTGAAACTCCTACGCATAAAATGGCAAAGGCGACAGTCATCAATGAAGGTTACACATCCAGGTAATGAGATACACAAGCAGGCTTGGACAAGTCCAATTGCCCGCTTGCCCAGGGCAAGTAAAAGTACTGTTTGGGCAAGTGCATGTTGTATAACAGTTATTCAAGCAACTGGATAGATATTGATATTGAATCCGGATAGATTTTTGAAAACAGTTACTGAAAGCAAGATAGATTTTTTTTTGTGGAACAACAACAACAATGTTCTGTACCGTGAGCGTCTGCATCTATGACAGTGTCTCCCTGGTTCCCAACCTCCACTCCTGAGTACGTGGTCAGGTCTACGATGTCCTCAGGCAGGTCCTCCATAGTGGAGTCACCTGTTGGCACATCATCGTCATCATCAGTATCATCCTCAGCTGAAAATATACATAAAAACACTGTTATTTTATTCCAAGATTTATCAGAAGACATGGCGATGGCACACTCAAAGTTCTTTCAACCAACGCAGATAAACGCATGAACAAACAGCCACACTCATTTTCAACCGAGTTAAGTAAGGAAATTTGTGTGAAGTGCCTTTCCCAAGGGCACAAGATCGAACGCTCTGTCACTGCGCCACATGACACCACTAATCACACACAACACCAGTGTTGACGTTATATTTCAGGGCAGACACGTGACAAGCCTCACTGGGTCAGTCTGTTGAAGACCAGAGTGACTGGTCGAAAGCTCTAGGTCTGAACCATTCTTTGTGTTGGAATGAAAGCTCTAACTATCGACAGAGATGACAAAAACACTTGGTTATGGCTGTATATGGTGTAACCAATACCTGTACCAAATTCAGACAATTCAGACTGTGCAAAAACCTTACCGTCAGAAACACTGACAGGCGAGGCCTGTTTGTCCAGAAGACTGTCGATGCATCTGTTCAGCAGGATATGTCTGTTGGAGGGGGAAGCAAAAAGATGTTCAATCATATAACCATGGCAATTTCAGACCGTTTAATCCTCTCATGACATCTATCCCTTTGTCTAATTATTTGACCACTGGAGCACCACAAAACATCTGACAATCAGTTCAAACAAACCCTTCTCCATTTTCTGTTCCTCTTATTGTTTGACTTAGTGCTGATGCATTCTTTAAGTTTAACGTTATCCACCCATCTTTTTCCCTTTTAACTGAATAGTTTTTTTCAACGCTTTAGAGTACAGCTTTAGATAAAAATTTAATGTACATCTAAACATTAACTCCCAGGAATGTCCACCTTTTGTGTTATTTTGAAATTGCAGGTTGCTTAATTTTTTCTCTTTTCTACAGTAACTGAAAATGTGTCTAAAATTGCAGACTGTATGTGGGTATTATTTCTAACACTGCTAGAAAGACCACCTTACCTTGCCAGTAGTTCTGCCTGGTTGTCTGCAGTGACGGCAGCTCGTAACGCCCGCTGACTGAGGTGAGGGAAGACTTGTGCCAGCTGCATCACAACCCACTGTTCATCTTCAGTTAGCACTGGTCCAGCTCTGCATAGAAACATGATATATGTATTCCTATTATCATCATCATAATGGTGGTTTTACCCACATAGAACCAAAGCAGGGGCAAAGTGCTCGCTGACTGAGGTGAGGAAAAACTTGTGCCAGCTGCATCACTACCCACTGTTCATCTTCAGTTAGCACTGGTCCAGCTCTGCAGGAATACATATATTCCTATCATACATGTTTTTATCTAAACTGGGGAACAAGTGTCCATAGGCGACAATATTCTCCGTGAAGTTTTATATTTTGCAGATTGAGAACAGTAATAGTGTATGTAAACAGTGTGTGATCACTTAACAACTGGTAACAACGTATCGTAAAAATGGCTAAATCCCTTGTCTAATAAGCTAGCCTGGCTAAAAAAATAGCACTCCTGACCCAAACTGAGGATGGACTGTCCCAGCCTGCTTTTCAGGTAATAAGTTTATGATGTCAACAATAAGAAAAAAAGCAATAACTGAATTTGTACAACTTGAAGTCCACTTTATCAGTATATATTTATGTCAATCCTTTTTCACAGACTGTAGTGAAATATATGATATTATCATATAGCCGGACGGCGTGGACCAATCAGAGGCCCGGATACCCGTGCTGTTATTTCCCGATAACAGCACATGTGGTGTTATGGCGGAATAACAGCACATGTCGTGTTATGGCTGATACCATTATGTTATAGGGTATAGGGGCATGCGACTCTTTCTGTAAACCCCTGTAGCATTTTTCTGTCCAATAAACTTTTTTGTTTAGCTTCATTTAAACTACAATTTGCATTAAATGAAATTATCCATATTTGTTTTAAAGCGTATAATATATTCGAATGTATTTTTATGTATGTATATATATTAAAGCTGTTGTATTTCAAACAGGAATTGTGTTGATTGACAGTTTGGATAGGCTATATGATAATACTTTTAATGCACTGCCTTTTCCTCGTTGTATATGGTGTCATAACTGCATGGGCAGCTGCCATAACCACCTCATAAACCACCTCGTTCGCTTCGCTCACACGGTGGTTTATTCGGTGGTTATGGCAGCTGCTCATGCAGTTATGACACCATATACAACTCGGGGCAGTGCATTAACCCTTTAGTATCATGGGCGTGGCACAGTTCATGTCTCATTCATTCTTTCCAGAAAAATGGCAAAGCAACACTTGGCCCCTGGTACTGGTACTACCTAGTACTGTAGTAATCAATCATTCTCAATGTAAACAAAACAGCGAACGACAGACTCTCTCAACCATTTTCACTTTTAAATCCTAATCAAAAATATCTAAAATCTATAAGCAGTTAAAGTTTAAATGCGTCGGAAAAAAATTATTTCCATAATTCCCGTTTTATCGTCACAAAACTGCGCAAGAAGTTTGTGGTTAAAACAGGAAGTGATGTCAGAGCCATGCGGAAGTTACCGGAAGGACTACGATCGGTAAATTTTATATCTGAATCATCAGTTAGGTTTCGCCAGAAAAAATGTCTATCCTTACCCTGTATGATTTTACAAATCATACAGGTTTTAGAGAGGGAAAATACGTTTTAAAAGAACGCAAGAAAGTGGCATAATTCGTTCTTTGGCGGGCGTGGTGGTGTCACTTCTCCGCCCATAACAAATGACTGATTAGCACATGCACACACACATATGCAAATAATTTGTACCAGTCCCGTTTGGCACCAAAAGCCCGCCAAAAATAATTTAGGAAACGACTCCAATATTTTTTCCCCGTAAACTACGACTCACAGAAATTATACAGTTTCTCTGAGTACAAAAATTGGCGACCTAAACGTGTCAGAATTTGTTTCCGAAACCGCTGAAACCTTTGACATGCTTTCTTGTGGTCACTTCCGTCGACAGAAAAAAAAACCGTTCCACCCATGGAATTTTGGATCTTTCTCGCAAAAAAACAGCCCACACTTCCACAAATTTCACCCAACACGATGTTCAAAACCTTACCGTGCTGGCGAACTGACGCTAGGACCCCTGTTGTTCACGCTGTTGCCGAAATTTCCGCGGAAAACGGACGGCCCGGCACAGGAGTACATCTGTTCCGCCATCTTGACTCAGAAATGACAGTCGTAGGTTGATTTGCGCGCGGTAGAACCACCCACAATGCACCGCGATTTAAATCCCAGGGGACTGTTGTGCTATTTTTGGCGACGCCTCAAGAGCGGATTCAATTTTACACGTGTATGATGTGAATATCAAAAGCATAAATAAACAAAGAAATGCAACTTTTGCAAAGCAAATAGACAATGTTTACCTTCGCATATGGTCTGCTCTGTGAATTCTTACCCAAACACATTCATACAATATGGTGCAGGAGTCTAATCCCTCCTGCCATAAAATTACGGTATCTCAAAACTAGTTACCATGGTGACAGACATCTGGTTCTGGTCATTGACCTTATTTGTCTGGAGAAGAGGAAGAAGAGGAAGAAACTGAGCCAAAACAAGTAAACATAAAAAATTATATGTATGCGACTTTTACGACTACTTTTTCCACACACACAACAAAAAAAACTTTCTAAATCGGCAACTAACTGAGCTGATACAAAAACACTCTGGTCAGAAAAGCACAAAACTGTATATGTTTAAAATCCACCACACTTTATTGCAACTGTTACCAAGCAAACAAACAAACAAACCGTACAATTGAGCAGATGTCACATTCAATGATAACTGCATTGTAATCTTACTCAAATTTATCTCCATGAGCTGTGAGCTTGTATCATTATTGTCTGTTTTGTTAATGTGCAAACAATCAAATCAAATCAAACTTTAAGTAATATTTTCAAATACATGTATAACCATGTACCAATGAACCATTGCCGCGATGCTAAATTCTGTTCGCCCCAAGATTGCCCGATGATGACAGACCCTTAAAGGAGTACTAACCTCCAGAAGGAGGTGCTATATTTCGACAGGCATTTATTTTTGGAATTGAAAAATGCATATTATTTTACAGTATACAATTAAATGCCCATTTTGCGCGCAAGTCTTAAAACGCATCGAATCCAGGACAAACTCTCCAAATACCCTCAAAACTATCCCAGAATACACCGCGCTACCCCATTAGTGTCTGTGTTTTAAACAAAAAGTTACGTTACAGACCTCATTTCGGGGGCGATAAGAAAAATTCGTACCGTTTTGTGTTCTTTGGTATCTTACCAACCATTGCCCTTCTTGGTGTCCTTATCGCCCCTCATTTATGCCGCAAATATTGACGATGAAAAAAACGGCGTAATCTAGTTATCCTTTCCAAAAGTGGCGTAATCTAATTATCTGTTCAAGTGATACTTACATGCAAATAAGTGGAGAAAATCAAAACACGCAGGATGAAACTGGCTCCCACTGTATTCGACATCCTGATATTATAATATCCAAGCCACAGGTCAAGCAAAGTAAAGCAAGTAATTTCTCAATCATCAGCTTGTTAGTGTGCTTGTCTCCTACCATTTTCGCCGAAAAATGTTTATGTTGACCTGAAGTGTATGAGTATTGCGTAAGCCAGAGTTACCGGATGTATCAATTGTGGTTCAGCATGGGGGAAAATGATATTAATATCACTTTACAAACATGCTCCGCTCAACTCGTACAAGCGAAATTATGTAAAACGTCGGCTAGTTATGTATTCATTGGAGCATGATGTATCGGAAAATAGCACTTCCTTCTGGAGGTTAGTACTCCTTTAAAGCTTTAGAATGATATCACAATCATTAGAATCAAATCCCATGTTCTGACTACTTGTTGTGCCTTGTTTTCTATTGCCACTTTGTTTATCATCGTTATATGATTTTTATTTCCAGTGGTTCTTTCTCAAATGGGGTAAATGCAAGTTATACTATTATATCAAAAGCTGAAAACCAAATTCCTGTAAAGTTCATAGTGAACTAGAGTTCCACGATCTCATGCCTTCGACAAATGATGTTAACCTTTACGACTGACAAATTATGAATGTTTCACATTGATTATCGAAATAATATCCTCACTTGCAATTATATCCTTTGATCATATTTTCCATCCAATGACAGTCTTATAATCTTAAACAAAGAGGGCTATTCTAGCATTTCCTCATAAATCATGCAAATAAGGTTCAGATTTGAATAAATTATGTTTAATACTGATCACCTTCACTTAACTTCCAAATGCAGCCAGTATGAAAATCCTGTCAGTAACCACTATTTCATTGTACTATTTATAGCATTTTTCTCATTATTTATGCAAATTAGGCCTTATTGACACCAAAAATTTGTGTCCCCAGCCTGTTTACATCATGAGCTATCAAAACTGCTTGACTGCATACCCCAGTTGATGTAGAGCTCAACGATTTGACCCACTTCCACATCTGTGTTTACACAAGGGCAGGAGAGTTACCAGCGAAAGGTCATGTCGGGTGCAAAACAAATGGAGTGTTCATAACAGAAATCAAATTCACGTAGCATTTTGTAGGCCGTTCTTGTCGATTGACTGTTATTGACACCAAATATTTGTGACCCCAGCCTGTTTACATCATGGGCTATCAAAACTGCTTGCCTGCCCCAGCCCCAGATAATGTAGAGCTCAAGGATGTGACCCACTTCCACATCTGTGTTTACACAAGGGCCAGAGAGGAACAACACCACTTGCATGTGGAGCTGACTGAGGGTTTATTTACAGTAGCTGGTGACCTGGGCAACAAAGAGGGCCTTTGTTTGTTCAAGGATTACAGGCATGACACTGATGAGTTTGCAATAGGGCATCATCCACATGAGACCAACTTCTGGGGGAGTCCTTTTGAACAGTTATATCCAAAAAGGCAGATTAAGCGCCACTTTCGCCAATTCCACAAGGATTCTGTTGTCCTAACAAAGAGGAAATTTTTTTCCAGCTATCCTTGTGGGCATAAATCAATGTAATCCGTAGAAGGTGGGAACCAAAAAGGTCTACTGCACTATGGATGACATATAGATTTCTCTATTAATTAATCAAATTAAGTCATAATTTACATAATGAAAATCTCTTCCTCTTGATTACATATGCCACCATTTTAATTGTTTTATCACAGAACCCAGCAAATATATAGACTTCTGTCATTAATTATGTAAATTAGATCGTAATTTGCAAAATATTCAGCAAATTAGGTCAAGCATCACTTAAGCTACCGAGATACCAAAAATAACAACAATCCGTCAACCGGTTCTTGAGCTATCCTACTTCAAACATTTTCAAACAAATGCCTCTGCATTTCCCAAATAAGCTGCTACGGGGCCCAAACTTACGGCACTTCTTTCTGAGCACGAGAACTGCCTACCATCTAAAAATCATGACCATAGCACGTCCATATCACGAGATTTAAAAACCAGAAGTTTCGCTGCAGTACTTTCTAATTCAATGACGTGGGGACCCCCCACGAAGCCCATATCCGAACTTGACCTTGGTATTGTCAATGGTAACTTGCCAACTAAAAAACATGAACATCCATTTAAAGATTCTCGAGTTATCTTGATGACAAGAAAAAACACAAAAAACAAAGGTCAACTGCAGTGACATAGAAACCTCCACGGGCCCATCTTCGAACTTGACCTCGGCATTCTCAACGGTAACTTGCCCACTAAAAATAATGAACATACATTTAAGGATTCTCGAGATATCTTGATGACAAGGAAAAAACACCAAAAACCAAGGTCAACTACAGTGACTTAGGAACCCCCCACGAAGCCCATTTTTAGCCTTGACAATGGCCACCCCCAAATCAACCTGCCTGCCAAAAATCGTGAACCTCGGACCTTGCCTTCAAGAGTTATCGTGCCTAATCTGCCAAACAGTGCAAACCCGATTTCATAACCTTCTCCGAAGGCATAGCCTTCAGTCGAAGGCAACGAAGGGGCATATAAATGAACCATTGCTATCGTATAAATGTATCACTAAATCTATCGTCAATATTGTACTCATTTGGAAATAGCACATTAGTTGTGATTGTTCACAATTGAAAGGTCCCTCACCATGTATGGATTACGTGTCCCCTTAGGGGAAGTACAAATGGCAAATTATTCTTCCTATAGCCCAAGTCACGGTTTGAAACTTACAAGTCAGTTGCGGTGTGAGTCAGATCAAACATCAATCTCCAAGCAGATCTTTCGGTTGGGTGGCAAAAGTACTCTCCAAGCAGAGGTTTGGGTTTTGGGGGTATTTTTAGCGTGTTTTAAGGCTTTT